AATTCAACATAAGATCTCAAAGTGACTGAGAAATTCTGGAATTTGGACTTAACTTTTATTTATTTATTTAGTCATCATCTCTTATAGTAATAATTTGAATAGAAATTAGTTCAAAGCAAAATGAGAGCAAATAAGGTAGAAACATCTAGTCATTCTAACCTTTTTAATTCAAAAGAAATAAAAGATTATACATGTGTCTCTAGTGAACCCCACATCTCAAAATATTTCTATGAACCTCAAAAAAATGGACAGTTAGACTTCTAAAGACTTCACAGCTCACAGATATTTGCAGTTAAGAGTTTTCAAATGAATATATATAAACCATGTCAAATTTCAACATAAACATACATATAAGCTATGCAAGAGGAACATTTTAATTGGCCAGTTTTTAAAATTTGTCGTAGATGAATAAATTTTATTGTTTCCCCTAAATCATCTCCATCACTTGTTATTTTACTTTTCTTCCACTGCTGTTCCATATAAACATAAAATTACTAAAAAGTCAAAATTACAACTGTAGCTATTTACTCTGCTACAGGTTAAAAAGAAAAATTAGCTTAAGCATGGCAGTTTTGCCAGTGCTTTGTTCTATCCAAAGAAAGCAAAAAAAAAAAAAAAATTGCTTCTCTAAATGGCGTTCTTATAGAAACTTAGACTAAGAATAGTAAAGAACACATACCTGATTTAACCCTGAAAACTTAACGACCATCCCTACAAAGAAGCAATTCCACCTTTCTATTGTTGTCATTCATCCCTACCTTTATGTCTATCTTCTTCTTTCTATTATATCTTAGAACCACAGTTTAGTAACTATTTGTATCTGTTGAGAGGTACACTTTAAATTGCAAACACACACATACAGACATACACACACTTTCTCACACACACACCTCTTTGTAAACTGTTAACCAGGAAGCATTCCCATTTAGTGTATGTGTGTATCTGAGAGAGAAACACAGAAATTTAAAAGAAAGAAACCAAATAAAAACCAAAGTCAATCTAAGAAGATTCTTTACAGAAGTTCAACTAGTAAGTGAATAAGTAATGATAATATTGGAACAATGTTATTTTGCAAATCCCTAAAAGAAAAAATATCTACACAATCATCAAAGGTAGCTCAAACCATTAGGCAAAAGGTTGTTAGGGAACTTAACAATAGTAAATCAGACTGACAGACCCAAACCTAAAATCAGCCCTAACACCACAGAGATTTAACCAGTCACTATGTCTCTTGTGATAATATGCAAAAGAATGTACAGCAATCCATAAAACATAGTTTAAAAAAATGTAAACCTAAGTTCTAATCAAATCTCTGGATTTAACTACCAGCACATAAGAAACACAGGAGACAGCAGAACAGACTAAATGACACCACAAAGATGCAATCAGCAAATGCAAAATGTGAAAAATTCTGTAAGACAAATAATTTATTCATCAAATAAATTATAGGGGGGAAGGGGAAAAAAGGCAGAAGAAACGATAGATTAAGAGACCTAACAAACTTAAATCAGCATGTGAGCTTTTTTAGATCTGGACTCAACAAAATGAACTGCATGAAAAAGTAAAAACCCTTTGAGACAAAAGAAAATGTGATCTAAATATGTAATTAAAGAATTTGTAATCCTTTGTAGATAAAATAATATTACAATAAAACAATAAAAATGTGTTCCCATTTTTTATATATATAAACACAAATTTATTCACAGAGAAATCTAATGTGATTATAGGAATTACCCCAAAATAATTCAGGGGACAGTGCAGGGAGCCTGGGCGTAGAAATCAAATGGGTATAGAAATAAAATTGTTGAAACTTAGTGATGGGTGCATAATGTTCATTATACTACTCAATTTTTATACATAATTTTCAAATATTTATTTTCAAGTTTAATTTACAAAAAATTAAGAATTTTCCTTTGTAGACTATTAACCTCTATTCCATTTTTATTTAACACAGACATATATATATATATCACTCTCTAGCACTATTTCAGGTGCTAGAAATACTAATAAAGAAAAGACAAGCATTTTTTAGAAACCCTGAAACACAACAAGTAACAACTGTTACCTGAATTATTAACCCTGCACTGTTCCCTGAATTATTCCCTGAATCCAGGTTATCATATAATCCAGAGGAATCTTAATGGAGAGGAAACAGTAATTAGAAGCATATAATTGCAAATTGCAGAAATTTACTAATAACAGTTGACAAACTACTTTCTTAAACATGAATAGTAAGTAAATGTTTTGGGTTTTTTGTTTTTGTTTTTTTTTTTTTTTGGAGGGGGAGATATTGGGAAGGATCCTGATACTATTCTCTCATTCTTCCCTATTTTGATCCAGTTTTCCAATATTAGCAATTTTTCTACTACTAATAATAATGACAATAATTTAAAATTGGTATAGTATGATGACATACACTTTAAGAACTAATAAGTAATGTTAATTTCCTATAAACTAGAAACTATATGACAAAGAACCATAAAGATTCTCTTACTTAGTTTGAAAGCTCATATTTAAAAAAAATGAAAAAATGAATTGTAAACATCAATCAATACTACTTACATACAATACTACTTACATACATGTATACAATTGTAAGCAATGGTTTAAGCAGTTCAAAATAAAATATGGACATATAATGTTTTAACTGTCCTTAATCTTTTTAAATTTTTATTTGTAAAAGATCTTTGAACCTGTTAAAATAATGAAGTTTTCTTGACTACTATTTGAATATAAGTGAGCACAGGCAAGGTAGTAACACTGGAAAAAAAAAACATATTAAAGAGATACCATGTCAAGAGAAAACATAAAAAAATTATGTTAAGAATATCACTTCTAGAATGATCCATTCGCTTCATGATAAAAGGAGATGATAACTTCCTAGGTCACAATAGAGGAGTAGTAAATTAACATGAGATGGAAAGAGTAAAATACTGTTTTGTGTTTAAAAAAGTATGAAGAAAGAAACCAAACAACATAGAACAATTGTAAACCACCTTACAATCTGGGGAGATAGGAATAAATACACAGATTTTGTTAGGAATTAATAATGTAGCTGTTATTCAATATATCTTTTCCGATTTGGGTGACATATTTTGGTATGTGATATCTCTGTAAACATCCATCTCTAAATTCTCTAATAATCCAGTTCAACCCTATACTATTATTTGCTGAGTTTATAAAGGGAAGCAGCCAACAGAAGTGAGCAGAGAGAAGAGATAAGCAAACCCAATACTGGGCAATGCAGTTTGGGTGTCATAACACTGCTTTGTCAACTCGTAAAGGCAGCAGTAGCAATCTACCTCTACCTGAGGAAGCAAATTTGTTTTAAAAGTATACTCTGTTCTTAGAAACCTGACCATATAAAACAATGTCCAAAAATAAAAAGTCAAGTGAATTAAGCAAGCAAAGGCAAAGAGCATTATTAGCAAAAAAAAAAAAAAAAAAGGAGCTTAAAGCTTAAATACTCAAAGCCTGTTTCTTATGGCAAAACAAAAATAAAATCCTGAGTCTCAAAAGGCACATAGTCCTAGCACACATAATATCTTGAATTCGGGTGGCACAGGGCTAAGTCTCAGCACTATTACCTATCACAGGTATATTCTGAGTTTGATCGCCAACCAGGGAGCTGATCCACATATGGCACTGTAGACCCCTCCTGTCTTCCCCAGTGCTCCCCTCAGCAGTATATTTCAGTAAATTCACCTGTTCTGCTTCCTACTCTGGTGAGTCCTCAACCCCCGCACCTCCAACCTATACCCTCGGTCTTATATGTATAAATAAATAAAAATAAATCTTAAAAAAAAAAAACTGGAATTCTGTCCTTTTGGCCTCCCACTCTATATTCTTTTCATTATACAACACTATCTTCTCTTTCAATGTCTCAGTAGACAATTATTAAAACCATACATATTTAATAAAGACACTGGGCAAACCGCTCAGATGGTATGTGACAGTTTGTCCAATGACCACATTAGAACCTGTGGGAGTCACTAACCCACTTACCCAAGATTAGACAGAGTAAGATGCAAAAGTACCCACATCTTCCACTCCCAACCCCACCACCTTGTTGTCACAGAACAACACAATTCTAACTAAAGTGCAAATCCTCAGGTAAAAAATGTTTTCTTCATAGACACTACTTCTGAGCCCATACTATGTCCTCTATAGTTTCAACCTTTTATAGGGTTATCTATCTTTTTCAACTCTAAGTACTCTAAAAAGGATCCTGTTTCTTCTGAGCTTCATTATCTAGTCTACGTAACAAAAATGAATGCTAGAGATAAGCTTATCAAGCATCCATTAGGTCAACTGTGTAGTTTTAGAAATTTTTTAATTTAATAAAGCACCACTACTTTATTAACATTTTACAGTATAGGGTAGAAAATTTTTCCATATAACGTCTTAATAATTAAATATTTATCTACATCCTAATCTCATTCCGTAATCTTATCTCACTCTGCAATCTCATCAAATCATAAACACTTTGAAAGTAAATCTTTTCACATGAATGCTTTAAGTGTAAATATAATATCATACCATATAAAATGTATGCTCTAAAATTAAGTGAAATGTTGGGTTTTTCTGTAATCTTCCTAGGATTTCTATTTCAACTATATCCAGTCCTTAAAATAACATGGGAAAAAATCCAATATAAATGAACTTCATTGAAACAAACTTAAAGGGTCATATTAACAAAGAAGCAAACTCAGTGTATATCCTTTACGCCAAGAACTATTGTAGGATACTATTTTAAAAGGAACCTACAAGGAAAAAAGGACCATAATATGAAAGCGCTATCTTTTACAATACGAATTAAATTCCTGAGTTTAAAAAGAAATAGCTAAAATCAAAAAATGACAACCAACTATTTCAAGTACCAAAAAATGTAATACCATCTCTTTGTGAATGACATTAATCGTTTTCATCAACAATTGTGCTGTAGAAGTCATAAATAAGTGGGGATAGTATCTACCTGGAAAATGTTCTGAGAAACTTACCATCATTTTGGCTCTTGCCTTTCACCTCCTCCTTCCATGATAGGATGGTGTTCAGAGGAACATAGTCCCTTATGTATTCTTTGCGTCTCTCCTCTAAGGTCATCTTCAGTAAACGTTCTTGCAAAATAAAAGCAGAATCTCAATTTGTATTTAACTTTTAAGTTCAGGAATTGCCTTATAATTTAAATAGCAATAATCTTTAACTAAAGAATTGGTGTAGATTAAACTGCAAAATTCAAATCTAATAACTACATATTTGAATGTAGTTAAAGTTGTCTAATTAATTCCACATTAGGTGAAAAAGATCAAAAGAAGGAAGAGTATGATAGTATGAGAAATAAACTCTTTTACTCAGCATCTGCTCAGAGTCTACATTGTGCCTATATGTTTATGCAAGTACAAGCTGATACTTAACCATAAGGTTCACAAGACAAGAGGACATGCTAAGATACAAAATAATTTCTACGTAACTAAAATGCAAAATTGAAAAAGTTATAGTAAATGTTAAGAACACAAAATAAGCAACCACCATGATATTAATTTTACAATGCCATTAATAAAAGCTCACATTCAAGTCAATATTATCCTATGTATGTGATATAAACAATACCTTAAATATACATATTGACTAGGGCAATTGAAAATATATATTTTAATGAATTAATAATAGATGCTGTCATTTATAAAGACCTCACTGTGTACCAGGTATTTTATACACACATTCTTACTGAAATAATATTTCCAACAACTCAGCAAAACCGCTACTATCCCTATTTTGCAAAGTAAATAAAGCACATCAAAGTTCAGCAAGAGAGCTTTCCGTTAAAATCCTGTCAGATAGGCCTACAAAAGACTATTAGTCACTATATTATACGAACTTCTCCAGAAAAGCTACCCAAATCAGATGATGTGAATGCAGCCTTATGAGGGATAGATAAAATTTTGCATGAAGTGGTAAGAGGTAAGGATATTTCAGGTGAGTAGAATATCATAAATAAAGATAAGAAGACTTGCAACTATAAGATATGCTTTGAGGAGGGAAGTAGCTACAGAAATGAAAAGTAGCTGGAAACTTAAGCTACAAAGAAAATGTATACCAAGGTGTATATCATACATTTATAATAATATAAAATGGACCATTTATATTCAAAATTGATTAAATTGAGTATATCCCAGAAGGTATATAAACAATACAGTAGAATATTGGGGGATAATGTAAAAAATTCCATTTGTTTTTAATCTGTTGCAATCTAGATTAATTTAAGTCTAAAGAAATAAGTAAAATTTACTTATATTCAACTTATAAATTAACAGAGACATCCTCATTCACAAAATATTTCAGCTGTTAGGTATCACATACAACACCAAAAGTCTCCACAATGCAGAGACATTGACAGTACTCATACCCTTCAATTCTTTCAGCATTGTATAAGGTAACTTGGTTTAGGTTGATATGAATTAAAGATAGTATCCAACTTCAGATAATCTAATCATCACAAAAACATCACTTTAAAAGGCTTTACACACAAAGTGCAGAAAATATTAATGTAAGCACACGTGAATAAGAAATGGAAGCCAACATTTTTCTCTACTCCTAAACCTGGCTTTCGGGGGAAAAAAATTAATTATCTGTGAGATATTCAAATCACAATAATATGGTATTCAAGGCTCAATGCTGTATTAAATTTAAGATACCTACATGACATTCAAACTGAAATGATCACTCTAGAGACTCAGAATAAATGTTTAACCTACAGATTTCTAAAATTATAATCTAAACTTCTGCTCCTAAACAAAGTTCACAGGGGAGAACAGGGGGCCAAACCTCAAAAAAAAATTTAAAAGGGAACACAAAATGGTGAAAAATGAAATAAAACTTAAATACCATTAAGTGTACTAGGTAAATCAATGTCCCAGTCACTAATATGGGAACCAGCAAAGGAAAGAATTGTATTAAGTAGAAGAGAAAAAAATAAATATTGTCAATAGCTATAGGAAGGTCACAAGGGACAAATCACCAGCAGCACTGAAAATGAACAAGTGATTAACAGGACTGCCTAGGTTTTAATCCCAAAGCATGTAAATTTATATGATTTTAGGTTACATAGGTTACATTCAATTCCTTTTTAAGGTAAATTAGTAGTTAGTCCCAATTTACAGATGAGGCTACTAAGAAAGGGAGGTTGGATAATGTAAGGTTCCATAGCTAATAATGGGTACAACTACTATGCAAACCCAGGAAAATGGGGTTCAAAGATGTGTTATTATAAATCACCTCATTAAGTATAGTTCTGGTAATGAGAAACCCCATGAAAGGTACTTAGAATAGTGTACAAATTGAACTGATATAGTAACTATTCACACATTAGTACAATTACCAGTGTTATCATTTGAAACTAGGATTTAGTTTCTCTAGAGTACCACTGAGATCCAGGAGACTATGAGTGACTAAAAAAAAACAAAAGTGAAAAACAGCAACACCAAGAGGAAAACCTGGAAGGAAGGCTATTTTAGGGTAGAAAGGCTTGAGTATTGTTACAAGTTAAGGAGAGGTACAGGCTGAAGACTCTGACAAATCAAACATATCCCAAAGAGAATAATAACCTAAGATCTCAAAGACTCAGGAAATGAGATAAAGAACACCAGCAGAGGGATTAATCTTAGAAACAAAAAAGTGCTTCTTCCAATGGCAGAAAACATATAAACAAATAAAATCATGGAGGAAGACACTAGGGTTGTTCATGCTACATAACATGTATTTTCTCCAGAAATTACAATGGTAATGTCATCTGTTTAGTTTAGGAGGATGGGATCTTGGGACAGGAGCTTGAAGGAAAGTAAATCTGGAATAATCACACAGTGGAAAAGGAATTAGCACTACCAAAGCACTACTTAAAAAGCTCAAATCACCAATAGAGGCATATTAGTTATCACCCGTCACCCACTGAAAAATGTTATGAAGAATAGCCTTTTGTTTTTATATATATCAGAAGGTACATAAAGGTGAGTAATCTGGCTTTGGCATTTCATTTATTTAAAAGTTTTTTGAGGACATGAAAACAAAAACAAGATCTTTAGGACAATAACATAATGAGATCATTTAAGTTTTCATACTTGAAAAACACACATTTAGTGGTTTTGAAATAGAACTCACAATAGGTCATTAAGTTTATTTAAAGTAAGTGGACTTGGGAACTCTGAAGTCTTTTGTTCTTTTGCATTTATTTTGCAATTAACAGTTGCAAAAATACAGTACCATCCTCTCCACTGGGATGAAAACAAAAAGGTCAACATCTCATCAGCTTTTTTTTTTCTAGTCAGCTTGTTAATACTAACTACTCACTACTCAGCTGGAACTCCTTAGCTCTTTCTTAATGGCATATTTTTAAATATTCCAAAAATAGACACCCAGATAAAACAATGAGACATACATTAAAAGTATTCAAGCCACAATAACTTTTCTCTAAATATTAAACTAGGTTGGACAAAAGAAAATTACTTTGTTAAATGTATTTTAAATGTACTTTCTTGAAATGTGCAATGCTTCTTTACTTAGAAAACATTAATTTGGTTATATATTTTCCCATGAGATACAAAAATAAATCAAGACATTAAAGTCTCCAATGCCTGCTTATGTGTGTAACTGTAAATGTTAAAGGAAGGAACCACTATTACACTGTTACTTTAGCAACATTGTCTATTGTGGTAGAAAGTGGTTAGGTAATTTATAATGCCATCAGTAATTTACCTACTGAAAACCTATCTCCATGTCTTCTACTATTTTGTCTTCATTATTATCAGTAACACCAATCTAAACATTCCAAGGCCTTCAAAAATGGATATAAATGGCATTTCAAAGCTTACAAGGCAAATCTTTGTTCAAAGTGTAGTGGAAGGAAAGAAACTCCTACTGCAAAAACAAAATTATTTTACATTACTTAATACAGATTATTACTCTCAACAGCATTTGTTTTATGACACCCAAATATTTAGTTTTCTTATATATGCCAATAGTTATTAAAACATAACGATGACATGCAACCTAATCTTGCTTTGGTTAAAACCATTTTAATTGGGTTGTTGGGTTATGTTATTAAAATTTTCCCAGTAAATCTGAAAAAGAAAATTCCTCCTCATACATTGTTTGAAATAAGCCCTTTATAAGGGATTCTTTATCCACATTCATTTACCTTCCTCAATCCACTGTTTGAATTTCATGTTTATAAAATCCTGGGTTATAAAATCCAAGGAAATTAAAATCTACAGATTTTTAAGAATTATTTTCAAGGAAATGAAAATCTACAGATTTTTAAGAGCTATTATCAAGGATATCAACTTCCAACCTAGTCACTCCCTTATTCTTGCATGAAAGTGATGGGATATTTCAAGATTTGAACTACCCTTATTCCACCTCACCCTTTATACACAGGGTTTGGTACATCTCAGCAGTAGCAGCACAAGTACTTTCTGCTACATTTTGTATATAAGTTTCAAATGATGTGAAAGAAATACTACAGACTCGAGTTTTACATTAGAATATTCTCTAATAAGGATGAGCGCGCTCGCGAAACGGGTGGAGCGCACACTTGTGTCAGTGCCAGCGATTCCAACTGATTTGAATAAACCTAGATATGCACAAAATTCAGGGATGGGTTCATTCAAGAGTGACATCAGTTTCACGACCTACTCCGAGCAACTTCAGACTAGGAATGAGGACGGAATATAGGGAAACACCCAGCAGCGTGAAAAGCCCATCAGACTCCTGGAGGCACTTATCCTCCAGGACAAGAAGCTCGCCTCAGGTTCCCGGAGAGTTCCAGGTTTCAGAACACACACTGCGCCGCAGGAGGGGACTAGGTTTGGAGAGGTAGTCACCACCCAAAGTGGGGCCACCTGGCCGCTGCTGGGTGCGGGGGACGCCTGAGTGAGGGTCTGCGAGGCGCGGAGGCGCCGCTGCAGCCGCAGCCCAGGTACCAGCCGGCGGCACGTGTGCGGGGACACAGCAGCCAGGCGTGCGAAAGTGCCGGCTGATGTCCTGAGACCGCGTGGGAAACCAGAGCAAGTTGTGCGGCGACCGGGAGCTGCCGCGCCGGGGTCCGAAGCCACCCAGAGGCGAAAGCAGCCCGCCGGGTGAGGTGACCTGGCGAGGTGCCGACAGAGGGGTGTGCGCCCACACGTGCGCGAGCGGCAGGTGCCCGGGGGCGGCGCGTGCCCGGGTGTGCGCGAGCGTGTGCGCGTGTGTACACACGGCCACGAGAAGGAGGCGGCACCGGCCGGCCGGGCGGGCGCGAGGCGGGAGCTCGGGCGGAGGGCGCCGCGGCACAGACGGCCCTGACCCCCGCCCCCACCCCACCCCCACCCTGTCCCCCCAGGACTCGGCGGGCCGGTTACCTTTCTCCTCTCTCCACACCTTTTTCTTCTTGTTGCTGGGGTACATGTTGCCGTGGGGGTGGCTGGCTTTAAGCTGCAAGTTCCCCAGGCTCACGGGCAAACAGGGTGTGTGTGGAGTGGGAGGGTGGGAGGGGGCACTCGGGAAGGAAAAAGTGAGAGAGGCTCCGCGTCCCGCGCCGCTTGCTGTTCGCCAGTCGCCGCCCTCCTCCCTCAGCCCGCTCTCGGTTTCGGCTCCCACCCGCCTCAGCCCCGCAGCGGCCGCCACAGCAGCACCTCTGAGCCTGTCAACTAGGTCACGCCTCGCGCTAACCTAACACCCGCGCAGACCCCGCCTCCCAGCCGAAAGCCAGCGCCGACTCCCATTGGCTGCACCGCCCGCCGCTCTCCGCTTTCCAGTCACTGGGCTCCGGGACTTCGACTCCAGGGCGCAGGCGCAGGCGCAGGCTCGGGCCCGACGCCGAGGACGTTGGGGATCGGGAGGGGGAGGAGCCAAACCTCGGAGGGGCAGGGGATAACCTCGCGACGGGGGCGGGGCAGGGAATAGACGCTAGGAGGGGAGGGAGGTGACTGCTACTCCTAAAGTTGCTTTCTAGGTGGCTGTGAGGGCGTGGCCTATAGGGCCAGGTGTGGTACTGGGGTCCAGAGGATGAAATACGAATTTTTCTTATTCACTATGAATTTTACCAGGTAATCTGAAGCTTTATTTTTGGTAAGCAAATACAACCTAAAGAAGCCGCAGGCATGGGACATGGTTCCAGACCATGTAACTGCGGTCCTCAACCATATTGTAAAAATTACAAATTTCCCTAGAATTCAGTGAAATTTAGAAGAACAAAGATTATAAAGAACTGGAGTACTCAGACGTTTTAAAAATCTGGAAATATTTGGTCACCAGCATGTGATGGAAACAAAATATATACGTGGTGGAAACAAAATATATATGTGGTGGAAATAAAAGTCTTACATAAAAAGCAAATTGAAAATGAGTGTTAACAGTGCCAAGTCATCTTATCTATCATTTTATTCCTCCCCCAATAATTTTAAGTGCAGGTCCTGGTCCAAAGAATTGTTTGATTCTTAATTTGTCGGTGTTCCAGTTGCTCCATGAGACTAGGATGATCTAGGATTTAGAGAAAGTTTGGTAACCTTCACAAATTTATTGTGTTTTTAAATAGAGGATTCATACGGCTGATTTGATTAGTATAGTAAATCCATGTTTGACAGTTGGAATGCTATGTGATATTTTTTTACTTAAGCCAGATAAGAACAAATAATTATTTTGAACACACTTTTTAAGTAATAAAAACAAAATAGAAGGAAAGACCTATTAAAAACTGTAAAGCATGAAATGTTTTTGAAAGACAAACATTGAAAGCTGACTATAGATCTGAGGCATCCAGGAGAGGTGAGAGAGGAAGAGCACAAGGGACTATGGTGATGGACAATGGGTGCTCTGGTGGTGGGAAAACTATAGTGAAGGGAGAAATCATATATTGTCAAAAATTAAACTTAAAGAAATCCTTTTGAGTAACAGGATGCTTTCAGTGTCTCTTTTTCATTTAAAGTTTATTTGACTGAAAGAAGTAGGGAAGACTTCAAGAAGGAAGTGACATTTAAGCTAGTAATTTTTTAAAAAAATCTCATGGTGTTATGGATCCTGGAAATAAAAGGAAGACTCTTATTCAAGACACATTACCAAAAAAGAATTTAAAAAAAAAAAAACAGTGGTTAAGGAGAAGATTTTGGGATGAGAATGAGGAAGGAAGAAATGATAAGAGGTTCATGGAATAGTTTAGGAAAGTAGCAATATTATTAATAAAATATTAGGCAATAGAAGAACACTTGCAGATTTTGTGGAAAAGATATCGAGCTCTTTAAAATGCTAAATATAAAATGCCTCACCTTGCCTTCTGTTACAACAGGGCAACTGTTTCTTCTGCAACCTAGTAATAACCCTGTGCTTTATTAGGAACCCTACACTGCTATTCCTTCTCTTGGATCAACTCAGAGAAGTAGAACCATTTATCAGCTTTCACACTTTCTCAAGTCTTTCCCTGTTATAAAAGAAAAATTAAAACAAACAAGAAAAACCACTTTAGTTCCATAGCCTCTCCCCCCTGCTGCTACTTCTTTTTAAAAGGTTGTTAATACCTGCTGTATCAATTTCCTTACACCCAGCCTCTGCCCTTCTCTCCCCTCTAATCTGGGTTCTAGCTCATCAGTCACTGCAATAGTTCTTAGTAAGGTGATCAATGACCTTTGTGTGCAATTTCATGGACATGCACCAGTCTTTCTCATAAAAGATCTCTCAGAAGTATTTAACACTTTTAACCTCTCATTTCTCCTTGCAGGATTTTTTCCATTTATTTCCTAACCATTTTGACTTTCTTTCTGACTAGCCATTCCTTTTCAGGCTCCTTTGCTAGCCCATGTTCCTTTTCAGCCATTACATCTTATTAGAGTTTTTTTTTTTAAGATTCAGATCTAGCTCCCCTGTCTCTTTAGTTTTTCTTTGAATCACTTACCCTATATTAATAACTTCAGTTGTGATACTAATAATAGCCAGGGGAAGTTGTGTACCCACAGAGAACATTGGCATTATTAGTTGTCACAACACGGGGAAATGCTACTGGCATGGGTATATGCCAAGAATATTACAAAACATCCTACAAAGTACAGAATAACCTCCAAAATAAAGAATTAATCTGGCCCAAAATGTCAATATTGTTGAAGACAGGAAACCTTGACTCGAATGATTCCCAATTTTCTTATCTATAGAAAAAAATTCTTCTTAACTTTAAAACTATACATAATACCTTATACTGAATCTCAGCTTCAAGATGTGGTCTTATGTACTGGTTGAAGGCTATCAAAAGCCTGATCCCCTGGACTCAAATCCTAAGTTTACCATTGCTAACTAATGACAACTGGCAAATTACTCAAATTCTTGCCTTGTTTGTTTTTTAATCTATTATTATATAGGAAAGGATAACATAGTATTTGTTAGATTGATATTAGGACTAAAGTTAAAAAATATAAAGGTCGTCAAGTAGTTACTAGCATATAGTAAGTATGGTAAAGGTGCTCACTAATACAGTTTTTTCTCTCTTGGAAATATAGGAAGACTAGATTTCCCAGCTTTCCTTTGAAGTTAGTTGGACATGTGACTTTTAAAATATCTCTCAGAAGCATTTAACAATTTTAACCTCTCGTTTCTCCTTGCAGGATTCTTTTCCATTTATTTCCTAACCATTTTGACTTTCTTTCTGTCTGGCTGTTCCTTTTCAGGCTCCTTTGCTAGCCCATCTTCCTTTTCAGCTATTACATACACCCTGAGAGAATTATAGGACAAAAATGATTTATGTGTCTTGCAGGCCTGACCACCAAACCCCCTGTGCATTCATCCTTATTTTGCTTGATACAGTAATCTCTGAGTAGTACCTCAAGAAGGAAAGAGCTTGAATTTCTGAGTCTGCATGAGAAAGTATTTCAGGTATCTAAGGAGTATCACAGAAGGCTGGCTATGTTTAGCTTTGGCATTTAGAGGGTATTTGTCTCAGTATTTAGTATTAATTATTCTGATTATACTATTATAATTCAGAACTGTAATGTCTCAAAACTACTTGAAATGTTCCATATACAATATACTGATCTAATAATCTTTCCCTTACACTTAGACCTACTTCCAATGCTGTCTCTTGATGAGTTCATTACCTTTCAGTTGAATAAACTAGGAAACTAAGCCACCAAACTGGTACTTCTTAAAACTTCACTCTCGTTTTAAATTAATTGCTGTATCTTCTCAATTTTTATCTCTTACATAAACTTAAATTTCTCACCTTCCCAGTAGCACTTTATTATGCGCAGTCCGAGTTTAACTGTCTCCCAAATCTTTCCATTCTCTACCCTGTATCTAGACTGATACTGTCAAATATTATAGTGTCATCTCACTCACTGTAAAACATTCAAGGGTGGTCTTTGCTATAGAACTGTGTTCCCCAAAATCATATTGAAGCCCTAGCCCAGAGTATGATTATATCTGGATTTAGGATCTTTAAGAAGGTGGGGCAAATAATCCAGTAGCCTGCAGCCTAATTAAAGGAAACGATAGCTCTATTTTTACCTGTCTATATCTTTGCCTCTACCTCTATCTCTATCTCTCTTCCCAATTCCCGTGCCTCCGTGTGAAGATATAACAAGAAGTTAATGGTCTGTAAGCAAGGAAGAGCCTTCAACATAACTAGCCTGTGCTGGCACAAGAAAAAGAAGTTGTATTCAAAAATGTAGAAAATAATTGCAATTTCATTTTCAGTAAAGCCAATGATATTTTTTCAAGATGTTTGTAGTCAGAAATGTCACATTTCTTAGTTGTCGTTTCTTTTCACCAAGAACTTCAAAATGAAACTTTTCTAACTTCTGTACGTTTAAAATATGCCTAATATAACTTAGTCTCTTAAATATCTTTCATTAAATTAAGACACATTTCTTAATTTAATTCTCACAGAGATCAGGTAGGATGTGAATAAAGACAAGTTAGTTGTATTTATAGTCTATGGAAAGCAGTAAAAATAAAAAATAATTGAAGTGTTAGGTAATAAGTCAGAAACAGTGATTATGAACAAGTCTTTTGAGATGATTAGAAACTGAAGGATAAGTAAAGATAATAGTTGGAAGAATACTGGAGTTGGGGAATTTTTGTACAGGAAATTGAATGAAAGGTTTTAAATTAAGAAGACGTATAGTGACAAAAAGACTGAAACAGAGGGAAGTAGAGAGAAATAGACCTAAGTACCAGAGAAAGTAGATTTAGAAGGAATCAAAAGAGAGAGGAAAGGGCTTGAATTTAGAATACAGGAAGAATATTTCATCTTTTGGGATGAATTAGAATGAATACTGGTAGAATGAATAGATGGAGATTTTTTTAAATGGAAGAAAGTCAAAGGAAGATAAGTCAAATAACCTCAATTTCAGTAATTAAAGCAGAACCATCTGCTGATAATTCTAGATACTAAAGAGAACTGAAAAAAAAAATCTTTGGGGGGATATGTTAATGAAAGATATTTAAGAGATTATATTATATTAGGCACAATTTAAAAGGACAGAAGTTATAAAAGTTCCATTTTGAAGTCCCTTGGTGAAAGGAAAAGACATCAGGAACTCTGGTAGACTGAATAATAGTTCCAAAGACTGCCAGGATGTAATCTTTGGAAACTATGAAAGTTACCTTATTTGGCAAAAGGGATTTTGATAATGTCATTAAAAATCTTGATATGGAAAGATTATTCTCTATTATCTTGGTGGACCCTAACTGTAACCACAGCAAGTAGACTACAGAGAGGAAAGCAAAGAGATGACTATGCAAAGAGTGGTGATGGGGTCACAAGTCTAGCAGTTCAGGGAGTCAATTATAACTGGAAAATACCAGACAAGGAATAGATTCTTCCTTGGAGACTCCAGAAGAAACTACACCTGCCCTTGAATTTAGTCCTGTAGAACCCTAGAACCCATTTTTGTTGTTTTAACCCACTTAACTGATGGTAATTTGTCACAGCAGTAATGGAAAACGTATAAAGGGAGTAAACCTGTAAATTAAAGCAAAAAGATGTTTGGTTCCGAAGTAATGACCTGAATATACTGTATGGACATATTTTAGGAGTAATTTCTCAAATAGCTTCATTGTTTTTTTTTCTTTTTTTTTTTTTAAAGATTTATTTATTTAATCATATAGAACTGGGGTACAGGCCAGAGATGTGGAGGGTGAGAGGATTCACCAGAGACAGAGAGCGGAGCAGAACAGGCAGATCGACAAAATACACTGCTGAGGGAGCAGCGGGAAGCAGCGGCAGGTCAGGAGAGGTCTGCCACGCCGTGTGGAGCTCCTCCGGGGCACGCGGGAATTGAACTCATGGGGCAGTGGCTTAAACCTCTTAGTGCTGTGCTTTAACCTGCTGCGCCACCAGGGAGAGCCCAAATAGCTTCATTCTTATTAAATATACTTAGTATTTTCATGCTTTCACCTAAATATTCATTTTTATTTCTGGCCCTAGCCTTAAGGACTCTCACTTGTGAAATGTCCATAGTGTTTTAAATAGTAGTAAAGAGTAAAAAATTAGTCATTTTAAAGGACCATTTTGTTATAATTTAATGAAACACCTTTTTAGAAAAGTCATTGATGATTTGAATTTGTCTGATATGGTCCACTAAAAACTCAACAGTTTCTTAGTTAATGGGATAATTTTTTTAAAGATTTATTTATTTATTCATATAGAACTGGGGTACAAGCCAGAGGTTCAGGGGCAGTGAAAGGATTCACCAGAGATAGAGTGGGGAGCAGACCAAGCAGATTGACGAAGTATACTGCTGATGGGGAGCAGTGGGAGAGACAGGAGAGGTCACTGTGCCATGTGGGTCACCTCCCTGCCCAGAGATCGAACTCACACTTAAGAGACTGTCATAGCTTGCAGTGCTACATCCTAACCCATGGCACCACCAGGGAGAGCCAGATAAATATTTTTACCTGAGAAGGGACCAAATGGTCCATGTGTTTCTTGCCTACTGTAGTCTTAAAATAAAGGGCTGTTGTATCAGCTCAAGTATTGTATTTGAACTGGGAACAAACCTGGTGGAAAAGGAGTGACCTAGTGGGTAGGTACTCACCTACACGCTGAAGAACACAGGACACATAAACACGTGTCCTTTGTTATTCACACTGGGAATGAGGAAAAAGGGAAAATAGAAAAAGAAAAATAGAAAAAAAAAACTTATTAGCTGGCACATGGCCAGAAAATATCTGGCCTACCCCAGAGTGGCCAGTGAGCAGAGATCAGGCTGAACCCAACAAAGCAAGGTGGTAATTTTCTGCTGAGCAGAGACCAAGAGTACAACACCACCAAGCAGAGACTAGAGCATAGGGATCACAGCCATAGACACAGTATTAGTAAAAGAATGGCCAATCAGCACTCTGTCCTTTTAATGTGCTTGGAGTGGTGGGTCTGCTCGTCCCTTAGTTCCCAGCAACCCCTTCAGGACATTAAAGGATTGAGCCATCCATCCACTGGCTTAGAATTGTTTTATTCCCACTCACAAATTGAGTTTTCAATGAGTACAACTGCACCTCTGAAAGTAAAGTAAAAATAAGAACTTCCATCAGCCCTGAAACATTATTTGAACATTAATGTGAACATGTACAAGTTGGACTTTTGGTCACAACCTTTAACTTCAGATGGCAACTCCTACCTATTTCAAGCCTACCCCTTGTCTCCCACAAGAGAGTGATAGCAGCCTAGATGTGGTTCCTTCCCATACCTAGCTTTCTCAAACAGCTACATTCATTCTGGGTTGAAAAGAACTTCCTAGCACCTCATTGGTCAGAGTAGGAAATGGTTACTTAGCAACAAAGCCCTGTCCCACACAGAACTGAAAAGAAGAATCTTGTGGGCCAGCCATCTAGTTCTGCCTGTGTTACAGTGAAGAGGCGCTGTCTACAAGAAGATGAAGCCCTTGTGCCTCTTAATAGAGATACTGATAATTCTTGGGGTCACAATGAAAAGTAAGTTTTTCTCCCCCTGTGGTTCCCTATGAAGGTCTTTTCAGTAGCACTAAGGGTATAATATCGGAAGTAAACTTGCTATAGACCCAGTTAACACCACTTTATAAGTGCTGAAAATATGTAATAAAATAGATAGTGATGATACTCTCTCATTTAGGACAGTATTTGGGAAGGGCATTTGTGTATGTGTGTGCATATAACTGAGTATATGAGAAGGAAGGAGGAAGATAATAAAAACTGAGCAAATACATTAGGATAGCAATGTAGTAATTTTTAAAAAGATGTTTGACCTAAGCGGATTGCAACTGAGATGAAAAAATGCACAAAAAATATGTAAAAAATAAATTAATATAATTTAAAAACTAATATAATAAACCCAAAAAAGGAAATATTTTGAAAGTAAAAAAAATCCTTAAATATTAAAAAAAAAAGATGTTTGAGACAGTCTGTTAAGTTCTGTGAAATCTAGAATATTGTGAAGATCTAGTGCCAGGATTTTAAGGGAAAATATAAAACTTAATGTGTAGTAACATGCAATAAATTTATAAACTTATAATTTAAAATATTTTCATGAAAATAGCTTACTTTTCATTGTGAGGCCACATAGAAATCCTTTTATGAAATATAAGAAAAGGGAAATCCATATAGATAGAAATATCAGTTATGCATGACGAAGGAAAGGAGAAAGAGAATTTATGTAATGAGTAGAGAGTACACTTCCGGGATAATGGGAAATTTTTGAAGCAAGAGAAATATGGTAGTTGCAACATTGTGAATGCACTAAATGTCTCACAATTGTATTTTTTTTTAAAGATTTATTTATTTGTACATACAGAACTGGGGTACAGGCCAGAGGCTCAGGGGCGGTGAGAGGCTTCACCAGAGACAGAGCGGGGAGCAGAACAGGCAGATCGACGAAGTACACTGCTGAGGGGAGCAGCGGGCGGGTCAGGAGAGGTCTGCCTCGCCATGTGGTCTCCTCCGGGGCAGGCGGGATTTGAACTCATGCGGAAGTGGCTTTAGCTTCTCAGTGCAGTGCTTTAACCCGCTGCGCCACCAGGGAGGGCCTCACAATTGTATTTTTAAAGTGGTCGATTGTATATTACAAATTTCACCTCAATTTTGAAGACACGATGCAGTGCTTTTAAAAAAAAAATCCTGTTAGGTTCTTAAAAGATTAAACAAAGAGTTGGTATATAATCTTATATACTGTCTTATATACATATGTGTGTGTATACATATGGTATGGGAGAGGGTTAAATAGAGACAGGGATGATGTTTATGAGCTCTTTCTGGATTATGGCACTCTGTAGGGTCAGGCATGAGTTTTCAACAGATTATTTATTGTTTGAAGTTCCACAAAGACTTAGGAAAGTAAATAGTGGATAATAAGTCTTTTGGTTTACAAACTAGTACTAAAAGACTTAAGATTCATGCATAAAATCAGCTCTTAACCCCATTCATTTTTCCCTCTCCCTGCAATCTTTGTCCTAGGTCTCAAGACAAAACACACAGAGATTAAATGCGTGTATGTGAGTGTTTATATTTATTTATTTGTATAAAAGCGTCAGTGTGTATGTGCATATTTATATGTGTGTGTCTTATATGTGTGTGCGTACATACATATGAATATGTGTATGTGTATACAGGTCTATTTATGTATATACCTTGAATCCATTAATGACAATGCATCACCTTTATTTAGGATTGCTTAAGCTGTCCTTTTCTAAGATGTCCTTTCTGTCATTCTGCTAATCAGTCTTCCCAATTAGATTTTATTTGCTCCATATTAGGCTTCAGTTATATCTTGTATCACATACCTGCCACAAGAATTCTCTCTGCTAGTGACAGCCTGTGCCTAATGCTGACAGCTACTTCCCATCTATTAAGAATATTTCCTCAAAAACACCAAATAGTCCAATGATTAGCAACCCAGTGTTCACTCACTACTTTCATCACTTTACCTCTTCGCAGCTTTGACACTATTCATCATCATTTTTTCTTCTATACCTCTGTAGAACCTTTTAAGACTCTTACTAGTTTGTTTTATTCAAACTTCCTTTTAAACATTATGACCAAACTTCAGTGTTAAGTTCTGTGACTCTAGTTCTCTCTTCTCGACTCCATAGCTTCATTTATATGTATTGTATACAACCTTCATCTTCCTCTTAAACTCTAGTCCTGTAAGTCAGCTGTATGATATTCATGAAGCAGGTATGGACTGCGTATGTCTTAATTTCAATACTGTATTCCTCATAGAATCATTGCTGAGTCTCCTCTTGCCAAGGTATCGGTATCCTTCCCTACTATTTTATCTCTCAAGTAGGAAATCAGAAAAATCATATGATCAAACAGTTATAATACCCTTACCATCAATTAATCAGTATTTCTACTGATAGGACTGAGGCTTAGAGTGGTGTAATAGATTCACCAAGGTAATTTTGCAATAGGTCTGGAACCAGAATCTCCTAATCCTTTACTGGCATTCCTTCACCAAGTCCTATTGATTCCACAGTGGTTCTCCCATTTATGCATTTTTCACTGTCTCATTTTATAGTCTTACTTCATTATCTTTTATATATACTGCTGTTCTTCTAACTCTCCCCTCTTTAAACCACTACTGGCTGCCACTACACTACTCATTAAACCACTCTCCCCTGCTATTAATTGTATTCTTAAATACCAGATCTGGTCATGATTTTCTCCTTCTTTGCACCTATTTTTTTAAACAATATAGCAGTTTATTTTTACATCATTTTGTGCATTTTTTCATCTCATTTGTAATCTCTGTGGGCTTCCCATCACCAAATCACCCATGTGACATCACCATAGTCAAGTGCATTTCCCTCCCCCCACTGTTTCTGATCCCATTTGCCACCCCACCTCCGTAAAATGTCTCTGTTATATAGCTGTTTATTATTATTATTATTTTCTCTCCTGGTCCATTATACTCCTGCTATGAGTGAAACCATCCAGTATTTTTCCTTTTCTTTCTGGCTTATTTCACTAAGCATGATCTTTTCCAGCTCCATCCATGTTGCTGCAAAAGGCATGTGTTTATTTAGTTTGTTTGCTGAGTAATATTACATTGTGCATATGTACACATCTTTTTAATCCAGTCATCTACTTTTGTGCATTTGGGCTGTTTCCATGTTTTTCCAATTGTAAATGAGCAGCACTAAACATGGGGGGTGAACCTATTTTTTATAGAATTAAGTTTCAACATCTTGTCCAACAATCAAAATTCTATTTGATTAGATCCTAATTTCCTTTCTACTTTGTTTCCCCTAAACACTATATTATTTCAACCAATTCAAACTATTAGCACTCACTATACCTACCTAATTCTCTCACTTCATGCCTTTCTCAATATGCTTTGCAAATAAACAGACTAGCGATAGACGATCTTCAGGAATGGACTGACACCCTATAATCTTCCCCAACACTATCACAAATCGATTGTGTAATATCCAGCTCCTTTTTTTTTTTTTAAGATTTATTTATTTATACAGAATTGGGGTACAGGCCAGAGATGCGGATGGTGAGAGGATTCACCAGAGACAGAGCGGGGAGCAGAACAGGCAGATAGACAAAGTACACTGCTGAGGGGAGCAGCAGGCGGGTCAGGAGAGGTCTGCCACACCATGTGGGTCACCTCCAGGGCAGGCGGGAATCGAACGCATGCGGAAGTGGCTTTAGCTTCTCAGTGCTGTGCTTTAACCCGCTGTGCCACCAGGGAGGGCCCCCAGCTCCTTTTTTAAGATTCATCTGAAGTTCTACTTCCTTTAGGGAAAAAAAAATACTTTCCCAACTCTTTTTTGGTAACACACCATGACATTTTTCTCTTTAAAAAAAATTTATTTATTTGGGTACAGGCCAGAGGTGCAGGTAAGCAACTCAACCTCAGTTTGTTTTCAGCTTTCTACTAGATTGACAACTGAAACAGAGATTGCCTTTTTCCTACCTTTTGTGTCATCTACAATTCATGGCAGAATTTGGCACATTGTAGATGTTCAATTAGCACTTGTAAAAAGAAGAATAATAATGAATATCTGTGTTACAGTAAGATTTATTGTAACAAAGCCTGTAGAGTAGATCATGTAAACATTTTAATTATTCTGAATTTAAAGAACTTCAAAACCCTAAAGTATAGTGTTTACTGACACCTGAATTCTCTAAAGGATTGTTTATTTTTATTCCATATCATCAGTTTGTTATTCTAAGTTTATATTCCCCAAAGTGATAGTCTTTGGGTATTTGTCTCAGAATCATATTCACTTGCCTGCAGCTGTTTCTGTATGCTACCAAACAGCTAGATAAATAAAAAAAAAATTAAAAATTAAATCAATCATCCAAATATTTGAAAATATAGTCGCATATGTTTGCTACAAAACAAACTGCTAGGTAATTGAACTACTCACTTTTCAGCCAATTGCTTTGGCAATATGATTATTATTAAACTCCAGCACAATATTTTTAATTGTACTCTTTAATTGTATGGATATCTGCAATTTATTTACTAGTAGCCTCTAATCTTATTTATATGAAATCAATCAATGAGATACGGCAGAGAAGAAAAACTTATTTCTTAAAACTTACAGACTTGGTGCTAAAGTTACGGTGTTGATTTTGACATGAATATTCCCAAATTGGAAAAAGTGATGTAGCTTTCCATTTTTTTAATAAGTCATCAGCTGGAAAATAAGATTGATTCACTTGCTTAAAAGGAAATTAATTAATGCTTAAAAGATAAGATATAGGGGTGAATTGAAAGGAAACATTTGCCCAAAAGTGTACAAAAAGACTTAAATATATGTACATGTGTGCACGTGTGTGCGTGCGCGCGCACACACACATGTGAGTTCCGGAAAATAAAGAAGCCCCACAGAAGAAGATTGTTGGTCTGAGTCAATAGAAGGAGCAGCTCAGGCAATTCTGATCCCTGCTCCTCTTACTACCACTACTATCGCCATATGCCAAGGAAGATAGCCCTCCCATTT